AAAAAAAAAAACCAACAACAAAAAAGCAAACAACATAATAATATAGATGTATAAACAAAAACTTTATCTACATCCTCCCTTTCGCAATATCTGTTGGCTATAATTTACGTACTACTCTAACACGACCATGAGTTGTAGGCCTACAGGGATCTCCGGAAAACAAACGTCAATTGAGACTAATTAACGAATCGAATGTGATCTTTAAATTGCCGAAAATTGAACTATTATTTCTCATATTGAGCTGAGTTTTCGGTCAGGATAAAAACAACATAGGCAGGATCTATCAACAAGAAGTATTACTAGATTCTATTATTTGTAGGCAAACACGATCAGAAGTGGGCGGCAACTTTTGATGTTTCCATGTTTAGCGCTTACTTTTCGATTCTCACTGGTAAAAATGTATGTGATTAAGAGTAGAAAATCAGTTCAAAAATATTTGAAGGAGAATTTCTTATATTCCTATGGATTTTGTTTTATGCAAAAATGGCATGACTTTTACCAGTTTCTAGGCTCTAAATTACCGTCACCTAATCAAAATAGCCGAAGTCGGATTGTTTTCGGGTTATGATATACCACAATAAGTCTGCCTCAATAAAAATCTGGGGGTATCAACTTTACGAATGGGGAAAACTGGTGGAACAGGTTTTTCAACAGGTTCAATGAAAAGCGCTGCTACTATGAATAACCGACTGTGTGGTCTATTTCGGTACTCATGCTGGGGTATTTTCTTCTTCTACCCTTCTGTGTTAGGGCTTGGTTTCTTACAGCGGTGTGGCCCTTCCTGTTTAGGGTGTCGTGTGTTTAGTCCTGGCACCGACGTTGGGATTACAAGAAAATATTCTGGCACTGGGATTTGGCATCCTTTCCTCGGGAGCATTCTTTCGTGAGCACACCATTTCAACTCAAAGGAAGGGGATTTCCTTTGGAAGTTACCCTGGATGTGTCACCCGTATTTCGTATAAATGGTAAGAAAGTTTGAAACAGGCCTAATGACCCAACCTCTGCCCAGACTATAGCTCCATTTACTGCCCAGTGGAGATTAGGCCTAGCAGTAGTTAGGCTATAGAATCTCTTCTGATTTTGATGTTGTCGCGTCGCTTCTTCCAGCTCTCTCTGGCCTTTAATTGTCTGAGTAGGTACACGTAGATATGCGTCTATTCTTTTTTTACCACTGTATTTTATTATGAATTCCTTTACTGTAGCTGAAAGGATATAAGGAATACTTCACTCATTGATTTCAAATGAAAAACGACCATTGACATAGAATCTGCTTTTATGGCTATCAGAGACTGCTCTCGTGTACAGTGTATTCTTTCTCCTGTACATTGTAAAGCACACCCTAAGGACACTCAAGTAAGGTTGTAAAATTAGTTTTAAACATTTACGTTTGAGGTACCCTTCTCGGCGATTGTTAAGATTCCCGCGTTTAATTCCAATTTGCGTTTTTCATAGCCTCAGGCATGTTTCGCTTTTATAAAATTAGCCCCTGACCCTGACCCCAACCCCAACCCTAACCCTAACCCTAGCCCTAACCCTGACTCTAACCCTAACCCTTACCCCAACCCTTACACTTACCGTTCCCTAACCCTGAAAAAATGCAAATCGGAGTTAAACGCAGGAATCTTAACAATTGCCCCCTTCTCTGCTACAGTCAACTCGGTGACAATAACGTCCTTTGTTATATGAATAGAACGGCTGCATCAATGGTAACTTGTCACAATAGTTGACCACATCAATACACATGATTCTTTGCCATGGTGATGACAATGACAAGCGTTATAGAACAGCTATCTAGGGAGAAAAATGTAGACTAAATCGCATTCAGCGGACATGCACATTGTGAAAAACGCACAAATACACTCAGTGTGTGGATACAGGGGAACTTGAGTTCTGCTGAGGGCCGGCACTTACCATGACAAGGTCCACTGAGCAAACTATTCAAGAGTTAGGGTTAGGGTGTAGGGTTAGGGTTAGGACCCCACTCAATATCCCCTTTGTGTGTTGTTGGTCG